TAGTCACTGTGGCAACTTATGCTGGGAAACTGACCTGGTCTAAAGCAGGCTAACTGTCAGGCTAAGCTCCTCTACTGACCAACAGGAACACGATGATATTACCACTGTCTCATACTATTATTTGACTTTTTTTTTTTTTTTACAGTTTCTGGCCATGCAGCCTTTCTCTCTGGTTTTATTACAGCTGTACCTTTTATAGTTTGCAGAACAGATAGCAGAACATTAGAACATTACAATCTAAAATTGCTCTTTAAAGCATTAAAATAACTAAATTGAAAGTTAAAATCAGTGAATTAAAAATGAAAATAAATAATAAAGAAAATGACTACATTTTAACTGCTATAAGAAACACACATTAACTCATTTGAGCTTAGTAATTAGTACTGTAGTCCCTTTACAGTTACTGCCATCATAAAAATACACTTTATATGTAGGTGTAAAATTCTACAAAAGACACATTTAATGTCCAAAGACAAATTATTTAACAAAATGTATATTTTACTCAGAATTATTGCGCTCCTATTCGATTGCGCTCAGTCGTTGCTCTCGCATGCCTCGCCCACTCCTGACAGCGAAATGGACATGTTTGCATGACTTTCTAACATTTACAGATGAAAAATAACACTGACAAGATACGCGATACAGAACGAGACCAAACGCGATATCAGCACGTCTCCACCATAGACTGTATAAAAAGGTCTCCACACAGAGGAGAAATCAATCTAAAATGAACTTTTCCACAACATTCTAATTTATTGAGATGCACCTGTACACACACAATTGACTGTAATAATCTCATCCACAAGGTGGCATAAAGTACTATATAATCAATGATCCCCCTACAAACTTACAAATCCTACTATTGGTTCATGAATATTAATTACGTTACGAGTGGGAACGGTTACCAAGCAACATCTGCATGACCTAATTAAAGGCCTTCCCGCTCATAGATTTGTATAGTATATATATAAATGTATACATATCTTTGATCCGATATGTTCCCGCTGACGTACACGGAAGAGTGGCGGGCGGAGCCGCGCAAAATCCTACTATGGCGAAGGTTTGGTTCTTGAATATGAAATAGCCTATGGCTCTGGGTTCCTAAGCAACAGCTCCATGACTCACGTAATATTCATGAGATAAAGGCCTTCACCAGAAGTACCCGGATAGTGGCGGGAGGAGGAGCTGCGCAGGCAGGTGAGGTACCCGGATGAGTGACAGGAAGAGCTGCGCAGACGTGCAGCAGAAACACAAACGCATCAGCCGACAGTCAAGAGCGCGGTTGCCTGTTCATCCGAATTCAAACCACCTGCCCTATCGATCGATTTGTAAGTGCAGCCTCTTATTTTGAATATAATATTCATGAAAGATAATATCCGCGTTTAAAAAGCAAAATGAAACGTGCAGTTTGTTGAAATAATGGCTTGATGCACTTATGATGCCTATGCATGTTTGCGCTTGAATTAATAACAGCTCTATCTGCACTACCCGCACCTGATGTGGTAAATAACACTTCTGATAGCAGTTTAGACAAATGTGATGTAAGAAATGATGAAAGCGGCTCTCATAGAGCTTTAACCCTGCTTTTCTGTATGAATGCGACTGATGTTTTGAATTTTGATGCCCGTAGAATCGTGTGTGTATATAGCTTATATACAGTACAATGACGGACACACTGTATTACATAATATCAACATCTGTTTATTCAGCTGCAGAAGGATCTGTGTTTAACTCTCTTAGTTTAAGCATAAATGCTATGTTAAAAAATAACATTTAAAAGTGAATGGGGACTTAAGTTGAAGAATTATTTCAAGTGGTCATGTGTCAAAACAGAATGATGAGTTTTGTCTGCTTTGTTTTGCTTCGTTGAGCGTGAGATATGCATGTTATGTGAAAGTAGTTTTGTTTGTAAGTGTTAAATAACTTTCTTTTGTGCTAGTATACAGGGAAATAGATCATGATTAGGCTAGGAAAGGAATGCCATTTCAATGTATTGACTCACCATAGAGGTCACAATCCCTCCCAAAGGTCACATTTTGAGTTTTGGTAGCCTGTGCTTTTCTTGTATTATCATTAATTATTATTACATAATAAGCAGTAATATATAGAGTCACTTGGTCATTATCATAAAATAAACCATTTCAATGTGATGCAACATTATCCTGTACACCATTTCTGGAATGTGCTTTATAATAATGACAGTAGTCTTATTTTAAAAAAAAAATAATAATAATAATAATTTTTTTGACAGTAGTCTTTTTTTTAAAAATTCTCAGGAAAAAAAGTTTCCTGTTTTATGTAATAAATATTTTAACATTTTATGGATTATGATGCTGACCTTGTGTTTGTCACGTAAATAGCCCTGATGGTAACATGACTTTTCAGAAGGTACTAAAATGTACCATTTAGGTAAGAATATGTACACTCTAGGTAATAATATGTACTACTTTTAAGGAACTAATATGTAAGGGTGCTCCGATCAGGATTTTTGGAGACGATCACCGATCGTCAATCACAGGAAGCAGTATCTGCCAATACGATCACAGATACTGATCTTTTTGAAGCCTTCTTTTTATCATGTAGAATTATTTATAGTGATGCTCCGATCACGATTTCATTCATTCATGGCCTGAATTTCATTTTTGAAAATGGGGGGAATTCCCCTCTTAGGTGACTCTTGTGGGGGAGATTTTTTTAATATGAGGGGTGGAGGGGGGCATTTTTTTAGACATTTAAAAAAAATATATATAATTATCTCATCTAAATGTTTGATCATGCAGTGCATTTTTGTTTTTACAATGGGGCAATTGTCGCACAATAGCTTACACACAGCACAAGCCTGATTTTGTGAGCTGTATGTGAGGCGGCCTTATGTGTGTGCTTTGAGTGTGCATGAGCGCACATCTCTTGAGTGCTGAATAGTTTAAACACTGGCGAGACTTAAAAAGAAATGCAAATTATAAAGTAAGTGATGATGCGACACTGCCTCGTTTGTGCAAGTGACAATTCCTGTGTCAACTGTGCAGCGTGCAGCTCACTTATAGTGCAGACACGATGTGGTGATTTGAAGCCATTTGCTCATTATGAGAGGGAAAGCGAGAAAGTTTTCAAATTACTTTGTAAGTTCTTTAATAACGAATATGAGTTGTACCTCACCTTCAGCATTATAATTATTTAACCCGTGCCGGACAGAGATTGAGACGGTGCAGCTGCATGTCATGCCAAATCTCTCACGGCAAGCACATCGTCAGCTTGAGATCATCCTTATAGAGACCGCCGATCAGACTTCCCAAAGCGATTATCGGCCGATAGTGGTCGGCAGTCCATCAATCGAAGCACACCTACTAATATGCACTCTTTAGGGGTAAATAAGGTACCAAGGTGTACCTTTTTCAAAGGTACCGGCCCAGTGACAGTGACAGAACTACAATCCCATGAAACATTGTGAAGGACATAATCAAAATAAAAACGATTTAGACTTAAAACGATTGATTTAAATATATACTGTACTGTATAATTTATGTGTAATGCAAAATATGCATAGTATGCATACAAATATGTATGTCATACACAGAGCTTCAAGAGAGTGGGTGGGTGCTAAAGTGTTCTTGTGGCGTGATTTACTTGTGGTTCTCTGATTGGTGGATATTTCTCTGCAGAATCATGGTTAATGTAGTTTTCACCAAGTAAAATGCTGTTAAAAAATAAATAAGTTGAAAATAATGCAGACTGACAGCTTCAACAAAAGCAAATACCATCGATTAGCTCACAATAGGTCTGTCTTTAAATTATCGTTCAAAATCCATTCCCTTATGGAGAAAATGAATGGTATTTTTAATTCCGGAGCATGACTGCTGCACTCTATTGCCATGGCCAACCAATTGGAATCAGTTATTCCATAGAGTTAAACAATATTTTAGGGATTCACCGATACCGATACTGGTATCGGTATCGGGCCCGATACTGAGCTCTTGTACTCGTACTCGTTAAAATGCCCTGATACCAAACGCCGATACCACACAGCATGTGATAAGTGCCATATTCAGACAAAGAAACATCGACAACAGACAGCAGCATGGAGTTATTAGAGATTAAGGATGTCTAAGAAGTATATGTATGCAATGAATATAATGTTAAACATTAGTAACAGTATTAACGCCTGTAGCTGATGTGCGCGAGCTGATAAGCAAAGCACGCTGAGTGGATTGAGTGTGCCGCGGCGCAGATGCGCGAGCTATTCGTTGCATCCAGTGGGGACATAATTATGGATTATAATGACTTAATACTGTCTTTTTACGCGTTGTGTTTTATTGCGCCGCGTAAACATAAAGTCTACATTTGTGATCGGAGAAATGACAAACAACAAGCCCTACTCTACACTGCCCAAAAAACTCGCTTTAAATATAAAATATAAAAACTCTTTAAATATAAAAAACGTACTTACAGTCTCTGAGTCAGAACAGCCGGCATTGTAGTCTATTCAGACCGAGTCTGGGAAAAAAAAATTGAAGTTCAGGTTTGCATGAACCTGGATGACAGCATGCCCAGGAGACTACAGTCTGTCATTAAGGCTAAGGGTTGTCCGACTAAGTATTGATTGTTGTGTAAATGCTGTTTAAAAAAATGTACAAATGCAATAAAAATATCGGTATCGGTACTCTGTATCGGCAATAGGGCTGGGTATCGATTCAGATATCCCGATTCGATTCGCAAGCTCTTGATTTGATTCGATTCGATTCTCAATTTATTTTTTTATAAATGCTAATGAAGTGACTCTCAGAGCAGCTGGATAGTCATATAGTGAGACGGCAGAAGATGAAAACACCGCGAGCGTCATCCGCGCTTTAGTATGTGTAAACAAAACAGTGCGCTGCGCCATCCGCCATTCATTCATTGCGGAAATCATGGTGCCTTATGCGTGATATCAAATGCTTCCGTAGAATTATAGTATTACTATAGCATTTCACCTGAGCATTGCGAATCACGCGAATGGCCATGATGTACATTCTGTTGTAACATCGCGCAAGGTAAATAAGGGTGACATCTAGTGGAGAAGACTAATGATAAGATTCACGTTAATCAGATCTTGTTTTAAATGTGCTGAAATAAATCCCGGAAAAGATCGATTCGCGGCTTTTGAGAATCGATATTGAATCGATGTCATTTTAAAAAACGATTAATCGAAAAATCTATTTTTTTTTGCCCAGCCCTAATCGGCAAGTACCAAAAATAAAAGTATCGTATCGGGCGAGTACTGGAAAAAGTGGTATCGGTGCACCCCTACTATATTTCATTTAAGTATATTTAAATCTAAAACATTTAGGAAGGAGTTTCAGTATTTCTTCTGGATAAACGTTCAGTTTTAAGTCAGAATAGAGGATTGATGTTACTTTCACAGATGGTTTTGAAGAACGCTGTGTGCGTGTGGGACACATTTGTGCCTAGCTACTCCAGTCATGCTTGTTTTTCAGGATGAATAAACCTATTTCTCTTCTCTCTCTCTCATTCACCCCTCAGGCTTTAATGTTGTTAAAGGAGCTAATGAGAGAGTGCAGCTGTCTTTGATTATTAATGAGTTCCCTCTTAAAAGAAAGCGGATGAACGAACATGGCAGCTCGCATACCCAAATTTCTCCTTGCCATAATGTGACTGACCTCATGTTATTCTGGCTGTGCCCTTTAAAGTGTTTTTTTACATTTGGTTTTTGAAATGACATCTTAAATCGGTCACGAGGCCCAGACAATGGCTATTTATTATCACTTCTAGTCACTAAGAACTGATAGAAATCCCACATGTGTGAAGCAGTAGCGAGTGGGTTACCTGGCCCTTCTTGTTGATGTGGTCTGGATGTGTGTAGGTGGTCACACCACAGGCACAGATCCAATGGTCCCCGGCTCACTGAGTCACTATGTTGTCAGAAAAGCGAATGAACGCCTGTGGTCCGCCGTGAGTCAGTCCGCACTTCTAGAACCATCTAGAATCTATCTATTGTATATATGCAAGGCTAATTTAATTATTAAGGCTGTGGTACATTTTATACACAATGGAAAATGAAAGTGCTTTACATAAAAAGGTTTTTAAAATAATCATAAAATGTGCAAAAGAAGTGAAAATACTACACTAAAAATTTAAAAATCAATTAAAAACAAATAACAAATATAAATAATAAATGTATGCTTGCTAATACAATGGTACTTTGTTTATGGTTTTTTAGTCCATGTCTATTAACTTTTAAGTCATCTATATTTGAGCTAGTGTACTCCTAAAAAGGAACTAAAATTATTGACTCATATTGCATTTGTTACATTACATTAGTTTGAGACCAGCTCATAACATTAACTTTATTTTCTGTCTTTGATCTATGTAGAAAGGAAAAGATTGTTAAAAGCAGAAAGAAAACAGAAATTGAAATTATTTCGGAATTGAAATCTACTTAAATGTATTTATCAGCCAATTCCATATATCTTAAAATATTGAATTATTACCTCTAAGAATTAGCCAGTGATGTTTTAGTATTTTTTACATATAGCCTACTGTGTAAAAAAAAAAAAAGAAGTTGTGAATAAATGTACTAGCAAGTGAAAATAGTTTCAAAGGAAATTCTATACCAATTTTTTCAGTAGTATTTATTTCATTTTAACTTTAGATTTAGTCGTTTTATTTTTATTTTTTTGTACATATTTCTATTTATGTTTAATTTATATTTACTTTGATTTTTAAAGGTAAATTTTTTTACACCTAGTATTTTCCAGCTTTCAATTAAAATAAATTATATTTTATAGTTTTAGTTTACAATAACACTGGATTCAGCTCAGTTTGTTCACTTAATGCACACTGAACTGCCCTAAGCGTTATCATCATATGCAGTGACTAGGCCTGTCACGATAACAACTTTTTGTTGTGCGATATATTGCCCCAGAAATAATTGCGATAAGCGATATTATTGTCATTTTAAAGACCATTTTATGCCACTGAATATATAATCATAATCTAACAGCATAATAATGCAAGAAGGCCAAACACACTTCCAAATCAAAACTAACTTTGAATTTTTAAGAATATTTAGATCATGGATTAAGTATCGAAATATTAGATACCTTAAACCTGAATAAATAGTAAATTACGAGAAGCTACAAAAGACACAGGCGCAAGTGGAATGTACAAAACATGGTGACATTTTTTAAGTAAATATAATGTGCGATATATTGCGTCACCAAAAATGATTGAGGTCATGTACATATATTGCGCGATAAGTCGATATATTGATTATTGCGACAGGCCTAGCAGTGACCTATAAGCAAGCATCGTAGTGTTCATTCATTCTTTCATTCATTCATTCCGCAGCTCCAGAATCCCCCTGAGCAGGTGAAAAACAAACAGCCAGTCTGCTTTAAGATCTGTAAGATGCTGTATGTTATTGCATAAGCTCTGTAATGAGACGGTGTGTTAATAAGCATGGTGCTCTTTCTTCTATAACAACCCAATGGGGACTATTATGGAAAATCTCCATGGTGTGTGAATTCACTATTCAGAGGAACCAAACAGTCAGTGATAGAGAGAGAGCATATAGTCTTCAGACTATTTCCTAGTTTATTTACGGGAGACTAAAGGGACACAGGACTGCAGGTTGGTGCTGACATATGTGTGTTGATGAATTCATCTAATATTTATTCTTTAGACCATGGTATGCAATTTTACACTATTTTCTGTTGTCTTGCTGTTTCTGTTTAGTTGTTGTTTCTGTTCTTTTTAGTCACAACCCAAATGTTAACCTTTTGTTTTTATATGTTATGCATATTTGTATGAAAAAGGCTGAATCCATTCAAACTATTTTCAGTGAATAAAGATTCATTTCAGTGGTTCATTTGTTTCATCACTCAGAAATGTTTACAGAAGTCTCTGCATTTTCCATATGTTAAAATTAATAAGATAATATTGCTGCTGCTTATAAGTGTAAGGTCCACGCACTTAGCCCAAGGAAGGTATCCAGTGGTGGCTGAAGGCTTCTTGTGTGTTCGGTCTTTTCAGCACGCAAAGTTTTTCAATTTAAGTTAAATTCTAATCTGACTCCATTTTAATATGACCTCGAATTTAGGTTGGAAAGCAAATTGGTTGTTTGTCTGCCTCTAATTAGTATTATTCTGACATTTGATTATTCTAGTTAACTCTATACTTTATATTTACTCGTTCATTAGGAATCTATGTCGCTCAGGGTGTATCACGCCGGCCGGTGTACGTGTACCACACAATCACAAACTCTCCAGTCTGATCATTAGTCAGAGGTTATGGCTAACTATTTAATAGACCGCCTCATGCCCCTACAGTCACCTATGTAACAACTTAGTTAAAGCTCAAACAAAATCAGAGGTTATGGCTAGCACTATGAAATATGCTAATACTTCCATAGTGTTTTATCTAGCCCCTATAGTTAGTCTAACTATATAACAACTTGAATAAAGCTTAGACAATAATCAGAGGTTATGGCTAGCACTATGAAATATGCGTATGCTTCAGCAGTGTTTTTACCTAGCCCCCTATAGTTATTCTAACCACATAACAACTTGAATAAAGCTGAGACAATAACCAGAGGTTATGGCTAGTACTATGAAATATGCCCGAACCATGCTAGTACTCCAGCAGTATTTTGTCTAGCCCCCCTAGTTAATGCAACTGCATAACAACTTAACTAAAGTCAAGCAGTTAGTCAGAAATCTATAATCTCACCTGATGTGCCCCATGCTCCATCTAACCTGAGATTCAGTATGTACTAACCCTGGACACAGATTTGCGGTAACATACGCCTTCACTTAATCTACTTAAGAAAATAATTTCAGAGTAGGTCAGAATAAAATCAAATGTAACAATTTATTATCAGTCAGGTAAATATTTATTATGCCAATTGTCTACATAGCCAATTCAAAGATATCAAATCAATACAAAACATCAAATTCTCAAAGATGAATCTGAGAGTAAGATTGCATACCTGACGTTTAGAAAAATGCATAGTATGAAGTGTGTGGACACCCTTCATACTATGGGCTCATTCTGGCTGCAGAATCGCCCCGACCCTTTTGCTGCAATCCTTTAAATACAAAACCAAGATAAAACATCCCCCAAATTGAGGCATGTACAAACAATTGGAATTTGCATTAACCCAGGTCCTAGACCTGGGTAGTTTACACCTCAATGGGAACAGAAGGTAATTTACATGGAAGACCCTGGTAGAGGGCACTCCCATAAGCAAAATATCTCTTAACTTTTAGGATCTGTATTATCTTTTAGTCTACTTTTGTAAGATTGAGACCATTGTACCACTCGCCCTGAGGCTATTCAAATGATACCAAACATGACTGTAAATATTATTTGCATTCATGTAGAACATTATACTATTGACCATTCTGAGTGAACCAAGTGGAGGGAGGATGGGTGGAAGGGGATGAGAAGGAACTGATGCATATGTGAGAGAGGCGTTTCCTGCACCTCCACTCTGTGGGGTGTCTCGAAGATGCCCGTGTATGTTTGTATTGTCTGTTTCTCAGGAGATCAAAGTATCTGAGTTTCTTTCATCCTTACATAAGTATTGTTATATTGGTAAATGAACCATTTAAAATCATTTTTCCTTTTATTTAGATAAAAATTTGATTTATTTATTTCTACTGTTACAGTATTTCACTTCGTATTGCATTAAACATTTTAAATGTAATGTAACCTTGGTCACAGTACAGTGGTGGTTCTTTTAAAATGAATATTTGGGGGGAAAAAATTATATTATGAACATTTTATAAATAGAATTAAAAAAAGTAAAAAATATATATTTATGATGTTTATTAAAACCAATTTTCTAAATTCCTATTTTAAATATTATCTCTAATGGTATCGTGTGAAATTATACCAAAACTGTAGAGATGAACAAAAACATTAGCAAAAAACGATTTTGCATTTGGCCTCTGATTAATACAGCTATAAACAAATGCAAAACAAAACAGACAAATCTCAAGTGTTTTGATTCATGCACTGCATTCAGCCAACCTGAAGTGGAATTATGGGTAAACTATGAGTCAGTTCTCTTATACTTTCCATGATGGCTCACGGCCATTAAACTGTCCCTCTGATCTGCTCTCCAGCGGCCGGGCGGGAGCGCCGTTGAGTGGCTGAGAGGCCTGCAGGGGTTCGAGTGGATCTTCATGCTCTCTGTCAGCAGGACCTCATGGACGACGGACAGTGGCAGAGCGACGGCCCAGTGAGGCGGGGAGGAGTAACCGACCCCGACCTCCTAAATGACTCTGACTCCAGCCGCAGCCCAGACGAAAACCAGAACCGACTGGTGGAGGAAGCAGAGGAGGTCGAACAGGGTCCCCGTGGTGGACAGAGGCCCCTCCGACAAGATAATACTAATAACAACGGTGATGACGAAGATTATGATAGCTCCAAGGTAGAGGACGAGGAAGACGAGGAGGAGGAAGAGGTGGATAGTAACAGTGGCGCATACTCTCCAGAGCTGGATGGACACATCCGAGACTCACCAACACCCAGCCCCAGTCCCACAGGTAACAGACAACTTACAGACCACAGTTTGAAAAACAACCTGAAGCGCAGCATAGATGTAGCCTTCATTGCCCATATCCCATAATCCTCTGTGTGTGTGTGTGGTAAAACTAGCCTAATTCTCAGAATCGTTTCGTTACAAGATATTCTGAGAATTAGGCTAGTAATAAATCAATGAGATATTCTTGAGTACACCTATATATTCCATAAATACATAACAAAATGATGCTTAGTGGCTTTATATGCCAATCAAGAGGATTTTTTTCTGTCAAAGTTAACAGTGCTGTGCTAGAATGAATCAGATGTATGCTAATAATATAAAATCTGATTCATTCTATAGCTTGGTACACTCAGGGAGCACTTGCATACAAAAATAAAAATGACTAATATTGAATATTCCTTGGACATTGAATAGGCACAGCCCAGTCCAAACGGTGTCATCCTGAATGACACGGGACAGATTTATGTCATTCACTTGATCAGGCTGAGGGTGGAGAAGCGTTTCTATTGTCTGCGAGGATTCAGATACCCTGAGTAATAGTGCTAAACTTTTGTTTCGGTTTCTGCTGTTGAACGAGTGACTGCGCCCCATTGTTGTCGCGCAACTTTTAGACAGGTTTGAGTGGCATGAATAATAAGGGCCAACCTCTAGAGCGGGATATATCTGTGTTGATGTACAAACACTGGGCGTAACCTCTCAATTCAATTTTTGGAGCATTTAGACATCTAGATGTGTCTTGGATAACCACATCAGGGTTATTACTGTTATCTAAGACTATTAAAAACAGTTTTGTTAATTGAAATAAACTGAAATGTGACCCTGGACCACAAAACCAGTCTTAAGTCGCTGGGGTATATTTGTAGTAATAGCCAAAAATACATTGTATGGGTCAAAATTATAGATTTTTCTTTTATGCCAAAAATCATGTTCCATGAAGATATTTTGTAAATTTCCTACTGTAACTATATTAAAACTTAATTTTTGATAATATGCACTGCTAAGAACTTCATTTGGACAACTTTAAAGGCGATTTTCTCAGTATTTTGATTTTTTTGCACCCTCAGATTCCAGATTTTCAAATAGTTGTATCTCGGCCAAATATTGTCCTATCCTAACAAACCATACATCAATGGAAAGCTTATTTATTCAGCCTTCATATGATGTATAAATCTCAATTAAAAAAAATTGACCCTTATGACTGGTTTTGTGGTCCAGGGTCACAAATATGATAAAATATAAGTATTAGATGGATAAGCTAAACGAAAATTAGAAATGTTCCCTTGGCAACTAAATGAAATCAGTTGAAACAAGCAATTAAATAGTAAGTAAATAAATAAATACATGGAAAATAAGTAGAATAAAATTGAAATAAAAACTAAAACTGAAATAAAAAAAATAATTAAACAAAAATACTAAAAATTAACCTAAAATTAAGATGAAAACTGAAAATATAAAAAAGATTTTCAAAATATTAAAAACTAAAAGTGTATAAACTATACTAAAATAACACCGAACCACATAAATGTAAGTCTATTGGTAATAATTATGCTAAAATACCAAACAGTTAGTGTTACTCTAGCACATTTTCAGTGTCAACACTTATCAAAGAGGATGTCATATTTGTCTTTTCAGTGTCAGAGGGGCTTGTGAGCCCTGAAGGGACGCCTCACGGTGATGCTGGATCACCCCAGGGCTTCGCTCGCTCCCTGGTGGCGTCTCTCCAGGAGCTGGGGGAGCAGGGAGACCACCCTCTTCTGCCACAGTGCCTCCATCAGGTCTCGTACTCCTGTTCTACATAATCTCCTCTGTGTGTCTCTCTGCTCAAAATGACTAAATGAAGTGTTAAATTTAAGGTTCTTAAGTAAATGTGAGAGATGAACAACATCTAACTGCTGAATTTTCAGCATCATTACTCCAGTCTTCAGTGTCACATGATCCTTCAGAAATCATTCTAATATGCTGAGAAACAATGTGTTGCTGAATAAAAGTAGTAAAAAAAAACAACAACTTTTGAACAAAGCAATGAAAACTTGCAACTTGACATGTTGAACAGACTAAACTTCTGTCCTTTAAACCTAATTTTCAATCAGTTTTGACAAAGTACTTATATTTACTGTGACGGTGGGCATCTGTAAGCTTGTTTACTGCCAGTAGATGGTGCAAACCTCTTATTACTTCAGTCTGCCTCGCTATAGTGTATGAGCCAGAACATGAGATGAATTTTCCTGTGCTGTTCCACATTGTTCATTAATAAGCTTGTGTTAGTCTGTTGTTGCTGTTGGCCCGTGCTGATAACATTGACTGATTGCAGTACATGAAGAATCTGATAGGAAGCAGAATAACCAGCACCTTAAATGGTAAAGCTCTATTAAATGTTTATTGGAGCTTGACCTTATTCAACATGTTTTACAAGAACATCTTTGCTCAGATGCTCAGCTGGTTTAGTTTCATCCTGAGGAGAGATTTATTTGAAGCTACAAGACGACTCTGCTGGAACTGCTCTCATTTATTCCCCTGTGGATTTTGTTCTTATGAGAGATTTTAAATGGAGCAAATCTTGGATAACTGGATTTTCTTTTCACTTTTTACGTGCACTGTGTATACTCAAACATGAACAGCAAAGCTCCTTCCTCAGCTCACACGGACCATTTATTGAAAGTAAGCGGGAAAAGAACTGCAAGATATTAATTCGCAATTCTGAGAAGAAAAGTCCGAATTGTGAAAAACTACCTTCTTCATTTTTTATTCCATGCCAGAAAAAAGAGAGAGAAAGATGTAAACTTCAGAGAGAAAAAAAAATCAAAATTGTGAGATATACACTCAGAATTGCAAAAAACTAAAAGTCAGAATTAAGTTAAAAAGTCACAGTTACCTTTTTATTTATTTATTTTTTTTATTTTATTAGTTATTTTAGTATTATTTCGATACTGTTATATCACATGTTAAGATTTTTAATTTAATTTAATTTTAATATTTTCAGTTTTCATTTTTATTTTAGTTTAAGTTTTATTAATTTGGTAGTGCTTTTCTCATTTTTATTTGTATTTGTTTTAATTTAGTTTTATCCATTACAGTACTTATTAGTTTTAGCCATTACAGTTTTAATTTAGTTTTAGCCATTACAGGGTCACATATGATACATAAATCCCATTTTAAATGTACTTTAATTAATGACCTGTATTATATAACGCAATACATTATGATTTAGAGCTATTGTACAGTGTTACCTAATGATGCTTTTCATTGTGTAATGTAATGCATAATAACTCCAGGCTAAACTCTCTTCTTTACAGATTGCAGAGTCATATGTGCGTGAGGAGGACTGTATCCTTAATATTATTGTTTTCTCAATTATATAAAAAAATAGAGCTCTGTATAATGGTGTGTTTGAACAGCCTTTTGTGTTGTATTGACGCTTGTTCCATTATAGCTCCTATTTTAAACCCCATTGCCTTTGTTATTGTAACAGAATCAGGGATGCTCACAATGTTTATGGATATAGAGCTGTTTATTGTATTACATTCAGTGCATTACTGCAGCCAGTCATCATCTTATATGATAGTATTTCACTGTGGCATTCTTTAGTTTCGGTGTTGTAAAGTGCATTGGTGCTTTGGGGTCTCCCGTTTCCTGTAGATTTTCCTTAACCAGAGCATTTTGCAGATGAGAGAGCAGTCAGGTTCATACAGTTAGAGAGACTCTATCACGAACGTCTGCTGTCTAACCTCGCCGCCCAACAGCAGCAGTGGGGTAAGTGGATTCTGGGAAACTGTTACCCAGAGGTGGTACGTGATGGAACACCTTTTAACGTTTTGCCGATATTATCGGCCGATATGAGCCTGTTGGTTTCGGCGAATATGCCGCCGATATGAAATTTTTTTTATAGAACATATAGCCTAACGCAGATACAATGCTTGAAATGGTGTAATTACTTAGTTTGTCCAGCAGAGCGCACTCCATTGTTTGCTACTGGCGACCTGGATGAACACTTTTGAAGCTTAAGTCTATGGAAAACCATTGAAACTTTGAACGGCCATATCTCCGTAACGGCGCGGCGAATCCGCACCAAATTCGGGGGATCCCTTCAGCTCGAGGAACCCTCTCGAACACGAATCGAGTGTACGTCTAGATGCCTGCTTTCGAATGAGACCACCCCCGCGTCGATAGCCCCCAGGGTTCGGGAGTTACGGGTGGTTAAATTCGCAGTCCGGCGCCGACCGATCAAGCGATCCCGGGGGCTACCGACGTGCGGAGGGTGGCGTTCGAGAGGGCTCCTCTAGCTGAAGGGATCCCCCGAATTTGGTGGAGACCCTGCGAAGTGGACTTCACATGAAATTCCGCCATGATTCCAGTTCCAAGGGAACGTACACGTTACATTCAAAGGGCATTAAAGTGCGCGAGACGTGAATTTATATTGTATTTATTTACAGAGGTATATTATTTCACACTTTTGTAGTAAGTTTCGTCTGTGTGTGAAGACCGTAGCGCAAATCCGTGAATGAATGTTTCGAAGTGAAATAAACTTTAACAGAATAAAGTTGAATGGAATTTAATTGAATTAAAGTTGAATAAACTTCAACTTTACTGTTCAGTGCACTGATGTCAGACTCATTTTGGATAATAAAGTTTATTGTTAAATTGTTAAATGCCCTGCCTCCATTACGTATCTCTGTCACGTCATTATAAGTGTTTGATCACCACATTTGAGTGATCATTGCAAAAAATGTGTTTATGTATATACTGTACTCTATATATAGTACCAGTCAAATGTGTGGACACACGAATGGGAAAGTTTCCAAACTTTTGACTGGTACTGTACTATAATATACACAAAGAATATCGGCCGATATATAGATATCGGCCTTTTTTTACTCCCTAATATCGGTATCGGTATCGGCCCCAAAAAACCCATATCGGTCAGGCTCTACTTTTAACCTGGTCTTTCTGTGATCAGAGAGGAGATGGAGTTTGGTTGGCCAGTGTCAGGACGGTCCAGAAGACAGAGACAGTGACCTGGATGCTGAACACCTGGAGAAACTGAGACACATCTGCAGAACGCACAGACAGTGAGTGCACACTGCACATGAACGCTACATTACTTCTGCCACACAGATCAGGTCAACTTTACTTATTTTATTGCACCCTTCAGTTCAGCTACACAGATCAGGTCAACACTATTTTATTTTATTTTATTTTTAATATTATTTTTAATTCACCTTTTTTTATTCAGAATTTTTTTTGCACTTTACAATAGGTTTGCCACACAGATTAGGTCAACAATATTTTATTTATTTATTTATATGTTTTATATATATATATATATATATATATTTGTATATTAACAATAATTTTTTTATTGCATGCTGCATTAGCCACACAGATCAGGTCAACTTTATTTGTTTGTTTGTGTTTTAATTATTTATTTTAAAGTGGAAGGTTCATTAGTTTAGCCACAAAGATCAGGTCAACAATATGTATTTTTATTATTATTATTTTATTTTATTTTTTCATTGCACACTTTATTAATTCAGTCACACAGATCAAGTCGACAATATTTTTAAATTTTTAATTTACTTTTTAATTTTTTATTCATCATTTTATTTTATTGCTCTCTACAATAGGTCAGCCACACATATCAGGTCAACAATATTACATTTTATTTTTTATTTACTTTTTTAAATCATTATTTATTTTATTTTATTTTATGGCACTCTACAATAGATCCGCCACACAGGTCAGGTCAACAATATTTTTTTATTTTATTTTATATTTTACATTTTATTTTGTTCCATACTACAGGTCAGCCACACATATCAGGTCAACAATATTACATTTTATTTTTAATTTACTTTTTTAAAATCATTATTTATTTTATTTTATGGCACTCTACAATAGATCCGCCACACAGGTCAGGTCAACAATATTTTTTTATTTTATTTTATATTTTACATTTTATTTTGTTCCATACTACAGGTCAGCCACACATATCAGGTCAACAATATTACATTTTATTTTTAATTTACTTTTTTTAAATCATTATTTATTTTATTTTATGGCACTCTACAATAGATCAGCCACACAGGTCAGGTCAACAATATTTTTTTATTTTATTTTATATTTTATATTTTACATTTTATTTTTTATTTTGTTCCATACTACAGGTCAGCCACACATATCAGGTCAGCAATATTAAATTTTATTTTTAATTTACTTTTTTAAATAATTATTTATTTTATTTTATGGCACTCTACAATAGATCAGTCACACAGATCAACACTATTTTATTTTTTTATTGCATGCAACATTAGTTCAGCCACACATATCACATCGACACCATTTTATTTTATTAATTTGTTGCTTCTCTAAAAGTTTTCCTAAATATTTTTCTCCATTTTTTTATAATCTATATTCTCCTAGATCAGGGATCAGTCCTACGGAGCTTGATCTCTGTAAAAATATGTTAGCAGTGCTGTACATGGAGTACAAGTAAATGTTTAACCTTTCGAGCCACTTCACAATTTAAGTACAGGGTAAAAGCTGTGTCCTTCTGTCCCATTCGTCCGGGCCAGACACTTTCACCGGCAGCCACACCTGAGCTTCTCTCTTTCCCCTCCTAAATTGAGCGTGTCTGTGTCTCATTTCTGCACTCTGGCTGCAGTTTGCAGTCCTGTAATGGTTTAAGCAAATGGCCCATTGCTGTGCTTTCAGCAATTTGAAACAAGTGCTAGAGTTTCAGTATGAGAAATGTGCCGCTCTAATATTAGATTCCCGCTGAGCGGAGCAACCTTAGATTTGAGTCCCCTTTTATGCACATTGTCCTGCTACGAGAGAGATAGAGAGAGAAGAAAAAAACAGATACTACAGCTCCTTAAGATGATTTTGACTGACACTTCACCGTTTCTTGTCTTTTTTCAGACCTGCATGGAGCGTTGAGAAAGTAAGACGCCTCTTTGATGTTTGCGTTTGTCTGTACGATAAGAGAAAAAAAATCCACGTTTAAAGACCAGAGGGTGAAAGTCGTTGTTGTCTGTGTGCGTTCATAGTGTGAGCTGTCCAAAGTGCAAAGGAACAGTGTGATCAGAGAAACACAGGGAGGAGAGCAAAACCTGAACACGCAAGAGCTTTCATGCAGCTCAGGTGAGTTTATTTCTCCAATGACAGGCCAGACCACCTAAAATAGACCAAAAACTACAGGAAAACACATCATCTTAGACTTGTACTATATATTTATTAGGGCTTTTTTATTTCAATTTAACAGGCTAATTATTATTAACATAAATGAGGAATCTTCCTACCATCAGAGCAATTTCAATAATGTGATGTGTGTATTTATGTATGTATTTATTCAGTGTGAAATAACACCGCCCTGCATCATATTTACTGAAGGAAATCCAATACTTGTTTCTTAATAATTTTGGGGTGCCTTTTCCAAAAATAGTCTCTGTTTTGCTCGACAGTGTAACAATTTCTCACAAAATATAAGAGTTTTCTTATACTATACCTTAATCACCAGAAAAACTGCCACAAAGACATGATTCCTGTTTTCCTCAGAGCCAGGTTACAACTATGTTCAATTCTCAGCTGATTTTCATGTGATTCATAATAATTCTGTAGATATTATTTTATGCTTAATCCTGATTTCAACTTTAACCACTCCTGAGTTAAATTATACATTTTGAAAACTTCATTTTGTTATTGAAACATGTCATTTCACTGCTTTTGTATATATATTTGTAATATTTTAATATATTTTTACTAAAAATATTTTACTAAAAATACTTTCATACCGTTTTCACACAAAATAAGAATTAAGGATTAGAATTATATATATATATATATATATATAAATATTTTTTCCCCAAAAAAATATAAAATTTTGGAAAGTTTTTTTTTTTATTGATATATTTGAACTCAGCTTCTGATAAGCTTTTTTTTAGTTTTTTGCAAATCAGCAGATTTGATTGAATGAAAACATTAGTTAACAACAATTAAGCTGTGATGTTATTAATAAATGCTGTTTTTCTCACTATGGTTTTATCAGCAGAAAATTGTTTCAGAGGTGGAGAAAGTTATAATATTTTAAAAAATATGGTTTTGACAGTAAATTTGCATTGAATCGTGGCAAATAAAACTACTTAACATTTATCAAGAATGGAAATAGTTTTAATTTGATCTTTTAATATTAGTTGTTTACACCTAGTTTACAGTCTTTTTAGTAGATTAGACCCTACAGCTTCCTTTCGAGAAACATTCTTTCATCATCTGTGGACGAGGCAAACCCCTTGTCCCCTTCTTCAAGTGCACACACACACACACACACACACACACACACAGAGTTAGAGTTCCCTCCTGTCCCTCCAGATCATGCCTTATTGATGAGCCTCTCTTTCTCACTAGCTCTCGCAGCTGATGTGGTGCTGGGGTATGTTACCTGAACACAGTGTTACTCGCATTGAGTTCCCTGACCCGGTTTCACTTTTACACACCAGGCATGGCAGCACACACACACACACACACATTTTCTCACTCTTGCAAAAGCCTCTGCCCAGCCACCTGTTCTGGAGCGCGTCCGGGACTCCTGGAGCAGCTGCATCTCGCCCTGCGCAGTTACCCTCCTAGACACATAAGTTAGAGATTGATTGCATTCACACGTACTATTGCATTCACTCGTACTGCTTGTTCATGCAAAATTCTGATCCAAACGTTCATCATAATATCATGCCCTTTGTTAGATGTCAAGGTGCGTTTGAGTTGGTTTGAACTGTGGTTTCTGATTGTCTGATGCGTTATAATTTTTCTGAAAGTCTTTCTAAAGATAGTAAACTTTTTGTTAGGCATGCACGGAGAAAGAATATTTAGGCCAATACAAATTATATACATTTATTTATAGCAATTATTTTAATGTTATGGCTTTAAATGATACAATGGCCTATATTATAAAATTTCAAAATAAATAAAACTCATTAAAAACTTAATCTAGAATATACATGCAACAGGTTAATTGGTTATGGGTTGAGTTGGTTTGAGGTTTCTGATTGTCTGGTCTGATATAATTTATCTGAAAGTCTTTCTAAAGATAGTAAACTTTTTGTTAGGCATGCACGGAGAAAGAATATTTAGGCCAATACAAATTATATAAATTTATTTATAGCAATTATTTTAATGTTATGGCTTTAAATGATACAATGGCCTATATTATAAAATTTCAAAATAAATAAAACTCATTAAAAACTTAATCTAGAATATACATGCAACAGGTTAATTGGTTATGGAATCAGGAATATTAGCACATTTTAAAATGTGATTCCCAGGCTGGCAAAAGTAAATTGATTGATTGATTTTTCTATTTAAATTTATTGATCCACAGTGGTTCAGGCAATAGGGCCCCGATGCATCAACAGTGATTGACGTCTGCCATTGATCTGTTCTGTTGTACACAAGGGTCTGATGGTCAAATGACCACGTGGTCATTCAACACAAAGAAATCAGACATAGTGCAAGCAGGTGGGGGGGAGGGACATCAGGTGTGTTTAGTTCAGAATTTAGTTTCCAGCCACCACTTGCTAAATTAAATCTAGTAAAGTGACAATATGGAATGTTTTGTTTGAAATGTTTCACAGATTATTTTAACAAAAAGCAGGCAGTGTATAGTACATTCTGTGCAGTATGCTAGTATTCCATTTTGAACCTTTGATTCCCAAGAAGAATATTTCATTAGTTTCATATAAACTGTTTTCTCTCTTTCCATCTAAAACAGGGAAGGCTATGGAGGATCAGAGTGCATGTGAGGCACAACAGGAAGTCATCCAGCCTGACGATCGTAGCAGCACTGCCCCAATTGACATTCTGGAAAATGAGTGGTAAGCTGTAGGAAGACAGCAGGGAGAGTTTAGCTTTTAGAAACTGAGCGTCAGACTGTATCGGCCTGGCACTGGTTGTCGTGTGTCTTTCTCTGATCTCTGACAGTGAGCTGTCATCACTTAGATCCTGTCTCTGAGCAGCACAGCGACCTGCATGTGTTTATGACCACAGAGGTAGCAGAGAACAGTCAACAGTGGAGTCCTGCATTATTGATCCACAGTGGTTCAGGCAATAGGGCCACGATGCATCAATAGTGATTGCCGTCTGCCATTGATCTGTTCTGTTGTACACAAGGGTCTGATGGTCAAATGACCATGTGGTCATTCAACACAAAGAAATCCCACAATCCCTCCAGAGCGAACAGCAGCATGACCCCTCCCCCTCCTCGGCAGTGACAGACAGCTCCTCCTCTCCAGCCTGTGAGGATGCAGGAGCAGAAGAGGAGAGCGGGAGTGTGGCAGCTTCCCACAGGGATGCCGCACCAGATCCCCAGTCACCAATGGACGCTGCTCAACCCCACAACGCAGAGGCCCAGCCGCCTCAGACGGACACTGATGGCCCCGGAGTGGTGATGGAGGGAACAGGGGATGCTGTGGATACGGGGCAGGATGAGGTGGAGCCCGTCCCACACACTAAGCAGGTTCCTCTGGAGCAGGACGTTCCAGAGAAAACACTAGAGTTGGAGCTAGAGGAGAACGGGAACGGAGTGGAGTCGCTGGATATTATGAATGTGTCCATGCTGGATGACATGGCCAAACGCATACAGGTGGAAGAGGTGGGTGACAGATTTTCAGTCAGTTTAGTTCAAATTCAAATGACAATGAGGCTTATTTGTTTTTTAGTGCTTGGCATGGCTTTGTTTTGAGAATGTTTAATTCTAATCATATTAGATTTAAAGGTCTCTCCGATTAGTCTCTTAAGCACTTTGCTAAGCTTTTCCTGATTCTAAGATTGGTAACCCTTAATATTCTGCATATATTGTGAGTAATATGCAAATTTGACAGGCATTTTAAAGGGAAAGTGTCTCTCTACACCACTAGCATCACCTAATTTAATCATCAGAAGAATCAATCTATAAATGGCTTACTTAAGTGTCTGTATTGTAAGTTGGGATAAGAGAAAGTGTATTAACACAGAAAAAAATAGCACACATCACCTTAAGTGGTTTATTGTGAAACTTAATTTACTTTTTCAAGATTTAGAAGCTGCTAGCATCACTATGATATCATCCAGTGAGGTCATAGTGATGTCATCTCGCATAGGAAACCCTTATCATCTCTTTAACTGCAGTGTTGTCACTGACTTGCAGGAATATTCTAGGTTCAATACAAGATAAACAATCATTCTGATTTCGGAGACAGATAGAATAGATTTCAAACCTTGTCTATGCAATATTATGAATCCTTATTTTAACCCTGGTAACTTTCACATGTTAAGGTTACCAGAAAGAATAACTCGAGCTTAAAAAACTGTTTATATCGCTTTCTGCCTATAACAGTAGTCCCAATGCTAAAAAGACAATTTCGCAGCTATTAATATCTCAAAATAACTTATTTTTGCACAAAAGAATTCAAATACGTGGTCTTACAGAAGTTGAAGCATTGCACTGTTTGAAACCCACCATAGTAGTACCTTCAATACTATATGAAATAATACAATTGTATGATTTTATTAAACATAAAATAATTATATTAATAATAGATTCATATAATTGTAAAATAACCATATTTATGTCCCATCTAGACCTTTTTTTATTTTATTATTATTATTTATTTTTTTTTGAGTTTACAAAACTGTGGGAGTCAGAATTGTCTGTGGTAATCGACAGCGTGTCTCACTGGTTCTTAAAGGGACAGTTCACTCAGAAATCAAAATTCTGTCATCATTTACTCACCCTCATGTTGTTCCAAACCTGTATGACTTGTTTTCTGCAGAACATAAAAGAAAATATTTTGAAGAATGTTGGTAACTAACCCATTTTGGAGACCAACGGCTTCCATTTTATGGACAAATAAACATTCTTCAAAATATTTTTTATGTTTCACTGAAGAAAAGACAGACAGAAATGAACATTTTTAGGTGAACTATCCCTTTAACCCAGAGCTCGTCAATAGGGACTCATCTATGGCAACCATGTGTATAAACGTGATGTATTCTAATAATCATTTTCTTGCTATACTTGGTTTTTTAAGCTTAACTTGTATGATCTCAGCTCCCGGTTTGGTAATTACCTCTTTTACTTTCTTGTAAGTTACTGTGGTGAGAAGGCGTCTGATAAGAACATACATAATAGAAATCGGAATCTTAGCAGTGATTCTGAGAACTGGATGCCCTGAAGGGTGACCTTTCCCCTGAATGCCAGAGCTGAATGATTGTAACAGGCAGCCGTGTGTGATGATATCACAATGAGACAATCAACAATGAAATCTGGACCACTGATCTCTACCAGCACAATACAGGCTTTCACGAAGCCAATATCCTTAAACGCTTTGTGCTCTGTTCCCAATCATGTGATGTGCCGTTTCTTAGCGGAGGGGTCTTGATTTCATGACTAGTGTTTAGTGTGGCATCTTGTGTAAGTTTGTGCTGTCAATATAAAACTACCATTCAAAAGTTTGAGGTTGGCAAGATTTTTTTATTTTTTTTTAAACAGTCTCTTATGCTCACCAAGGCACCATTTTGTAATTGTGTAATATTGTTACAGTTTATTTTTGTGGAAACTGAGATACATTTTTTCAGAATTCTTCAATAAATAGAAAGTTCAAAAGCATTTATTATGCATTTATTTGAAATATAATTAATTTGTGACATAAAATGTCTTTACTCGGTTTTTATTAATTTATTGCATCTTTGCAGAAAAAAAGTATTATCTTTAAAAAAATAAATAAATCTGTCATTATCTATATTATTCATATTTTGAATCAACATATCTTCTTAAGTGTGCCATAATAGATGTTGCATGAGAGTTGTGACTCAACAATAATGGCGATAGTGACCTTCAGCCTGTACAGTAAAGTGAGTCTGTTGAGCTGGTTAAAATGGTTGGACTTTTGAACATTTGTCTGAGCTTTCCCTTTTCTTGGAAAGGCTGAAAACATGGTGTGCATGCAGACTAAGTTGTGCTCAGTAGGACCAAATTCTAATGCTTTTTAACCAGACAGAACCTACTGACCTGGAAAACCAAAATCAAAACATTTTTTGTTTTTGAAAGAAGTCTCACCAAGGCTGCATTTATTTGATCAAAACTACAGTTAAAAATAATAATATTGTGAAATATTATTACAATTTAAAATAACTGTTTCTGTTTTAATAGATGATGTGTCTGTTTTCTATTTTAAAATGAATTTAAGTTATTTCTGCAATGGGAACGCTGAATTTTCAGCATCATTACTCCTATCTTCAGTGTCACATGATCCTTCAGAAATCATTCTAATGCTGATTTGCTGCTCAAAAAATATTTCTTATTACCAATGTTTCCACAAAAATATTTAAGCAGCATGACTGTGATACATTTTTCCCTCATTGAAAGTTCAAAAGAGCCGCATTTATTTGAAACCTTTTTTTGTGACTATGTAAATGTCACTTTAAAAAAAAATGTACTGTTTACAAACTTTTGAGCAGTCTGTATTTCATCTCTATGAAAACATTTTTATTCTATTTAGAACAGTTTAGAAGTTTAAATTTTGTCCTATAGCTAATCTAATAAAGCATGCAAGTACATATTGCACAAAGTTATAGTGGTCGACTGATATGTTTTTTTTTTTTTAATGGCCGCTGCCAATATCTAGAGAGCTTTTACACAATATTTACTCAAAATCCCCTAAATCATCAGTTTAATTAGTGGTAGACTGATATTGGTTGACATTTTTGGTGTGTGTGTGTGTGTGTGTGTGTGTGTGTGTGTGTGTGTCAAAAATACCAACCAATATCAATCTACCACTAGTTAAAATGATGATTTAGGGAATCAGTCCATTGACCAAGCAGATCAAATAGCTTTAATTGCAAGTATCTCTGCTGTATCTGTTGAGTAATGACGCAGCAGTGTAAGTGGATTTATTCTGAAGCTCTACTGCTGAGCCGATATTTGTTAGAAATGTACAGAATCATGTCTTCTATGTCTGGTCAGTGATGGAGTTACTACGGCCTTTTGTGGCTAATAATGCTGAATGACCACAGAGAGAGCAAACATTACCCAACTGACTTTGAGTCCACACTCATCAAACGTGATGTTTTTCTGTATAAGAGCGTCAGCAGAGTGCATTTGAGGAGCTGGAAACTTTCATTAGCAATGATAAGCATGTGTTATTTTTGGACTGTTATGTTGATTGCTGACTGCTAATGGCCCACTTCATGATCGGCTCACCACGTTGTGGTGTGTTTGGAAGCCTAATTACTCAAGTGTCATTTGCTCAAGTGATTAATGCATCTGTTTTTTTATCCTATTAATTTGTTGCGCTGCTTATGTGCTATGTACTTCCTAACAGGAGTTCTTTTGTGAGAGATTTAAAGCAAGAGAGTTTAACATCTAACCCTTAAGTGGACTGTTTTGCTGTTGCTGGTTTTCAGGAACACATATTTCCTCAAATAAAATTAGGAACAATTACCTCACCAACCTCTATTTAATGTTATATCAATGTATTTAAGCCTTTGAATGAAACAGTTCCGTCACTAAAATCTGATTAGAGATGTACATAGGTCATGTGACACACTCTGTGCCTAACAACACACTTAACAATGGTAACAACACATCCTCGTGTGCCTTTGGACATTTTATATAGTGTTTAGTTATACAGTGAGGTCTGCTCTCCTGCTTTTAAAATCTCTGTGGAATTGAGCCATTCTACAGGTTTTGAAAAATGTTTGGCCTAAGTCTCTTCTGATAAATGTAACCGCTATGATGGAGTAAAAATAGAGAACTATAATTGCAGTGCCCGAAACGTTTGTTTTCATTGAGACAGATCTTGCCAAATATGGAAGCTCTCAGGATGAAATGAGTGGACACCAACAGTTTTTTATTGAAAAATAATCCTGTTACTCTTTTTAAAATGACTTTTAAAGGGATAGTTCACCCAAAAATGAAAATTTGATGTTTATCTGCTTACCCCCAGGGCATCCAAGATGTAGGTGACTTTGTTTCTTCAGTAGAACACAAATTAAGATTTTTAACTCAAACCGTTGCAGTCTGTCAGTCATATAATGGAAGTGAACGGGAATCACGGCTTTGAGAGTAAAAAAAAAAAACATACACAAACAAAACCAAATTAAACCCTGCGGCTCGTGACGATACATTGATGTGTAAAGACACGAAACGATCGGTCTGTGCAAGAAACTGAACAGTATTTATATCATTTTTTACCTCTGATTCACCGCAATGTCCGAACTGTCCCGAGCGCGGTCGCATCTTCTTCTTCTTCTTGCTTTACAGCGGATAGCAGACTTATAAGTGCATTACCGCCACCTATCTCTCAAATGGACCATTGACACTTTATCTACAATCTCAATTAGGAGTGTTAACCTGATTTTCAAAAATAAGCACGCTAAAATATTCTCTTCTCATACACATATTAACAAACAAAAATAAATATTAAATAGAAATATTAAATGTTAAAATTCTAAACTCTACATTTGCATGTAGGATTAGTTTTTATATTTATTTTAGTAGTTATTTATAATGTAGCAAACAATAAATACATAATTAAAAAGCATTCTGTAAAATTTTATGGAAGTCTGAAAATTGAAAATAATTGGGGAGTTTTCTTGTTAAATTTCACAAATTTTAATAAAACACTACTTTACGTACTGAAGCTTATATCCAGGCAGCTGAATCATAAACTGCCTTATTCTTTAACATTAAAAAGCAATAAATTCCCTTTTTTGTAGCTAAATCCTACAAGGTTTACAGTTTCTTCACCACTAGAATGTAATTGAAACTGATGTATCACCTGCCACCTCAGCTCATAGTGACATCTAGTGGGTAAAGTATGTTAGTGCAAAGCACTTCCTAATTTTTTGGAGACTGTGAATCCAGTAACCTGCCCTCTGTCTTTCAGATCACTCCAGCTGCTGGTCTTGTGTCTATCTTGAAGAGAAGAGTCTCTCTGGAAGGAGCCAACAGCTCTGTCCCTGCCGCCCCTAAACCGGTCTCTAAACGGAAGGTCCGTTTCCGAGAGCCTGACGAGGGCCTGGACCATGGTAAGAACCGCTGTTGTATTCTGCACACTCATTTTTGCAGTATTCACACTGATGACGCTCTGATTCTGTGTTGATTTGCTTAAACCCAATATGCAGATGAGGTGGGCGGAGACTCCTGGCTGCTCCTCCTCTTGTTGTGCTTGGCTACCGTGGTGATCAGTGTGGGCGGGACTGCGCTCTACTGCACTTTCGGAGACGCCCAGTCCAGTGTGTGCACAGACTTTTCCCATAACATGGACTTCTACATAGGACAGGTGCAGAGGGGCATGGATGAAGTCAAACACTGGCTGTCCCTGAGCTCATAGCAGGACGGGACGACTTGTTTTCTTCTCCGTTTCTTCTTCTCAGTAGCCTCCGTGATCTTTAATGCTGAGATCTCCTCATACAAAGGCCTTTGCTGGGTCACGCTGTCACGGATGAAGCCCAAACGAGCCCGTCTGTCAGGTCCTAAAGGGGACGTCCGGCCCCAGGAAGGCACAGCAAACCTCTTTGGCCAGTTTTTGACTCAAGTAGCCCACTGTTTACTGCCGTCAACTGAACCTCATATGACTTCATTTTTAAAGTCTTCAATTTAAAATCTTAATACTTGGTTGACAGAGTTGTGTCTTTTATTTATTTGAAAATTGAATGACCATCATGGTACTGAAGATAATAATGGACATAATCATCTGTAGCCTGGACGTAGCATTTTCCTGTGGTGGGTTTGGACTTATGGAAAGATGTTTATAGGGACAGGAAAGCAATACATGTATATTGAGGAGCTATAGATATAGATATATAGATACAGTCAGCAGAGAGGCAAAGTCTTGGTTATCATAGTTATCCATTTATTAATATAGGAAAACAAAAATAATTTTTCGGTAGATTCAGCAACATTGTCATTATTAAAAAGTTAAATCACTGAAGATAATCAATATATTTTCTTTTAAAAAATCTGTCAGATTCTGTACATGCAGTTGACAGTGTTGTGTACCATCCATCAGACTGAATTTACTTTATTTTGTTATTAATGTAATTATTATTACTACTAATTATTATCATTGCTAATGAAAAAAAATTATAATGATAACAGTGATTTTATGACTAATAAATATCTAAACTTGTAAATTTTAAAGTGCAAGTTCTATATAGAAAAAGTTGTAAGTTATAAAATGATAAGTTCAGATATTTATTAGTGTGTGTATATTATATTTTTATATAAAAAAATGTAAAAATATATAAACTTTTTTTTGTAAAACAGCTAATTCTATTAAATAGCCTATTTCATTTTCCCCATAGAAATGAATTGGTATAACTATGCTAACCATGATTTGTTTTGCCCTCCAGTTTATAACTATTTAGCAATGGGAAGTTTTTAAGACGATTGGTACTAGAACGAGAATGTCATATGATTTTAATATAATTTGCTCAGGCATTTTTGTTATAATATCATGACCTCCAGTGTTAAATAAGTAACATTTATTTTTGGTTATTGTCATAAGTGCATCCTGTGTTGGGTCTTGAACATCTTTTATGTTTCCTTTTGAAGCACAGTCTTACTATGGTAATGTCAACATAAGTCTGCAGTAAATTAAGTTAAATTAAAGGACCACTCCACTATTTTTGAAAATAGGCTCATTTTCCAACTCCCCTGGAGTTAAACAGTTGAGTTTTACCGTTTTCGAATCCATTCAGCCGATGTCCAGGTCTGGCGGTAGCACTTTTAGCTGTAGCTTAGCATAGATCATTGAATCCGATTAGACCGTTAGCATCTCGCTCAAAAATGACCAAAGAGTTATTTTTCCTATTCAAAACTTGACTCTTCTGTAGTTACATCGTATACTAAGACCGACGGAAAATGAAAAGTTGCGATTTTCTAGGCCGATATGGCTAGGAACTATACTCTCATTCCGGCGTAATAATCAAGGAACTTTGCTGCCGAACCATGGGTGCAGCAGGCGCAATGATATTACGCAGCGCCTGAAAATAGGCTTATTTCCGTCAACATAACCAACGTAGCCACCTGCTTGCACAGGCAGCTTGCTGGGGACTATTTTCAGGCGCTGCGTAATATCATATTACTATTTGAATAATATCATATTACGATTAATATCATAAAATACTATTTGAACTATTGATCTCAAAGATGCTAATCAGCACATGGTTAGCTAGCACAGTTCTGAACAGTTGTACACA